CCCCAAAACCCCAAAACCCCAAAACCCCAAAACCCCAGATTTTATTATTAAATTTGAATTATATTAAAAATAATAATAAATGATGTTATAGGTTATTTCCCTTTCACTCTTTTTATTCAGAACTCTTTTTTCCTCCATCACTTGTTCCTTCTGCTTGCTTCTGATTCCAATGAATCAGCAAGCCTTAGAGAATCTGTGTCAATTTTCAGAGGCAGTTAGCCCAATGATTACACGCTCTGGTACAAACAAGGATATCATTCAGGCTTCTATAGATTCTAGTGCATATTTTAACTCTTTTTCTAAAGGTCATCTGGGACAGTGTTTTATCCCTCAAGAGTAACTACAAAGCCGTCAAGCTCGTCTCAATTTTTTTTTGTTTATCAAGGTTTGCTGTTTTTTTACTTTTCCTTCAAGCAGATCTTCAATTTCAGGATCAAGTTCCACAAGGTAAAAATAAAAACAAGACCCTCCCAAAATCACAAATTTCTCCGAGGAGCTTGTCCTAGAGAGTTATGCCGACTTCCTGCTCATTTATTGCTCCTTGCCCTAAATAAGGCTCATTCTGCACCAAAATTTAAATTTTTTGCAAGAAGTGTTTATGCCTAATTAGAGATCCCAAAACACTGCCAATTTATTAAAACTATTTCCCTTCAAGTTCTAGAATCCCGCACATCTTCAACTGGAATTGGAAATTTGGGTCCAGGGCAAAGGCTTTAGGTGAAAAGTTTATCAGTGAGTTTTGGGGATATAGGGAAGGAAGAGGAGTAGTTGAGAGAAGGAGGTTGGATAGGAGGGGGAGGAGATAGCTGGGAAGGAGATTTTTATTGAAAAATTTGGGGGTAGGGTGGGAGTTTGTTTAGAGAAGAGATTATGGGTTTTAAGAGGTTTAGAATGGTGTTAAATAATGAGTAATGGATTTTTGTTGAGTTTAGTAGTAAATGTGGTTTGGTTGTTTTGATACTTTTTTGAGTTCAAGGTGGAAAATCTCAAGAAAAATTGTTTTGTAGTTTTAATTTAAAATTTAATCTGAGTTTTCTTTGATGAAGATATGAATTAGCATTCATAATCTTGAATAGTTTGGTGCCCTTTCAGTATTAGATGCAATGCCTTGGTCAACCATCTAAGGAAAATCTCTAATTTTAAGTTCTCAAAATCAGATATCTCTTGAGACTTCCCTTAATTGGGCAACAAAAACTTGAATTGATATCTCAAAAATCTTTGTTGATTGTAACCTCCAAAAGCACCTCCTTGAATCAGATCAGAAGATTGGTTTTTTATAAACCAGCTGACCTTTATGTAATGGATATTTAAAATTGGCTTAGATATCATTATATTAATAATATATGTAATTATTTATTAACCGCAACAAATACCTTGCTAAAATTTCTAATTTACAAAAGTTATGAAGGAATTTGGTAGCTCAAGTTAATGATATCAATAACCTCAGATCCCTTATTTCCAAAACCTCCACTCTGAGCATACTGTCCCACAAGCTGGTTATAATTCCCTAACCTATTATTCATGAACGTGGTTGTAGAATAACTCTCTTTCTGGTTTTGTTCTTCAAATTGGAAAGAAGTGTGAGCTGGAGGGGAAGGTCTGGCTGGGGAAGTTGTGGAGAAAGGATGGAAGGAAGGCGGGGAAGGGAATTCGGAGGAGGGGTCTTGGGGAGGAGGGTTTTGGGGATGGAAGGGGTTGAAGGATAGATGGGTGGGGGAAGAGAATAGGAAGGAGGGGGTACGGGGGGTTTGAGGGGTAGGAGAGGGGTCGGGGAAGGCAGGGGTGTCGGTGATTGGTCCTGTGGTGGAGGGGGTTTTGAGGATTTTAGTGAGTTTGTAAGGGGGTTTTGGGAGGGTTTGGGAGTTTTGTGGGGAAGTAGAGATGGTGTCTTGGGTGTTGTCACTCTGGTTATTTTCTACTTCTTCATCTTCTTCACCCTTTTCATCCTCTTCATCTTCGTTTTGATTTTCAGCATTAGGCATTTCCTTTGCTCTCTTATTAATCTCCTCTAATTCTTGATCTGTAAACCTATTTACAAGTGTTATGTCTTCATAATGTTCTCAGTAGAAGAAGTCATGGGATGTTCAATAATGAATGTTTCATTTTCTGCATTTGATCATTGAGAAATATCAAAAGTTGATTCAATAGTTACATTCATATGCATCTTCTGGGGTTTTATCTCCATCTGGAAGTTTCTCTGTACATTCTTTCTTAACTTTCCTCTTGTTTTTGAGCTTTTTGAGAAATACTCTTCTGTTCCTCTTTTCTTTGCTATAAAATTTCTGCCAGTATGTGAAAATCTCTTTTCTTCAACTTTTTGATAGGGAAAGACGATTGTGGTTAATAATGTTTTGGGTTATCATCCATTCAAAGGGAAATAGAGGATTTTTGCATCCATTTTGTGTGTAAATATCTATCGATTCAAACCCATACTTTAGCCAATCTGAGGAAGTAAAGTTTACTGCTTCTGCAAGAGTGTAACCTAACGATATCCCACAGTGATAACAGCCTGGAAATGTGATAATATAGTCTCCCGGTCTCTGGATTGTTCTGTGCACCTGAATCCCATTGTTGATTAATTCGAGTGGGGATACTTGGAAGTTGATGTTGAAGAAGAGATCATCATCCTTTTCATAGAGATTTTTATACTTTTTCTTTATGTATTTCTCAAATTTGATCCTATCTCAGTTGGGAATGGTGTACCATATCTTAGCGGTTCCTTCATGCATGTAGTTAATGGAGTACATCATCATATCCTCATAATGCCAACAGAAGGATGAGTATGGGTGAGAAATATACATCCAAGGCTTATTAATCCCACTGATGTTCTTATCGGGGCAAAACTGCAGTAAGGTATTTGGTGCTGAATTCATACAGTTCAGGTTCCAAGGATGAGACGAGTACTTATTTTCCTTTTCTGTTGGGAATCCTGAACCAAAATGATCAATCGGAATATCATTGGCATACTCAACCTTCACTAATCTCTGCCTGTCAAGTTTATGAAAGTACCAGTAATTGTTCTCAATCTGCTTACACATGTCATTCTTTGGCAAATGCTTGAAGTATTTATGAATCTCTTTTGAATTTTTGACACATTTCTTGAAAAATTCTTTAAATGTGTATCCTTCTTGGTTCTCTTCTATAGGCTATAATTATTAGTTTCTGAATAACTTACTTCTCCTTTCGACATTGCATAAGGACTTTGAGTACGGGTTTTGAATTTTAAGTTTAAGTCTTTCCTAAACTTACAGTCGAAATCAAAGGCATCTTTTGCTCTGATTTTGATGGCACCAAGTTCTTCTAGGTCAGCTCCTCGAGCAATCCTCTCAAAATATCTAAGAAATGGTTCATTATCGAATCTCTCTTTATCATTATGATACACCTCGTGAGCATACAGGGGCTTTATATTTATAAACTTTGTGGTTTTGTCTTGGGCAGACTTATTTTCATTAATTTCTTCCTCAATAAGGTTGGTGAAAGTATCATCTATGTCACCAATAGGATAGAAGTCACAGTCTCCTTTCTTACCTTTACTCTTGAACCTTCTCTTTTGAGATAGTTTTGGGAAGCTGTTTCTCTGAGCTTGCACCTCAGATAGGCCAGACTTTTCATATGTACCTCCCTGGGTGGCTCAGGAAATATTCTTACTCTCAAAGGATTTTGTTGTTGCAAGTGTCTGCATTCCAACAGTAAAGTCAATCTGGGAATGATCTATATTCCCTCTATTTTTGCTCAATTGCTTGAGTATCCTCTTCTTTTGTGCATTATAACCTTGTGAATAATCTATCTTCTTCTGATTGGCCCATGCTGGCTTTGGTTTCTCCTGGATTTGGTTAAAAATAGGCGTCAATGTGCTATTAAAATTTTCCATCAAAAATTGCAAGATTTTCAATATTTTAATGATATCGGGGTTTTGGGGTTTTGGGGTTTTGGGGTTTTGGGG